GGAGGAGGAGCATCGGCCAAACCACCGGTACCCACCAGGTAGGTGAAGAAGGGGACGGAGTTGCGGACGTCGTTGTTGCTGGTCTTGAGGTGGAAGTTCACGGCCAGGTTGTCCCCGGGCAGCAGCTCGGTGGCGGCCACCGCCAGGTGCAGGAAGTTGCCGGAGTTGGCCTGGCTGAGGTAGGCCTGGGCCATCATCTGCCGCGAGGCCTGGCGTGCCGGCGGCAGCCCCGCCTGCGCCGTCCGCACCTGCGGCGCGAGACACGGCGGCGGCCGGTCAGCGGCCAGGACGTGGGGCTGGGCGGGGTCATCGTGGAGGGCTTGGCCACCATGGAGGTTCCACAGAGGGCTTGGCCACCATGGAGATGTGTAGGTTATCATGGAGGGCTTGGCCACCATGGAGGTTCCACAGAGGGCTTGGCCACCATGGAGGCGTGTAGGTTATCATGGAGGGCTTGGCCACCATGGAGGTTCCACAGAGGGCTTGGCCACCATGGAGATGTGTTTGTTATCATGGAGGGCTTGGCCACCACAGAGGGCTTGGCCACCATGGAGATGTGTTGGTTATCATGGAGGGCTTGGCCACCACAGAGGGCTTGGCCACCATGGAGATGTGTTTGTTATCATGGAGGGCTTGGCCACCACAGAGGGCTTGGCCACCATGGAGATGTGTTTGTTATCATGGAGGGCTTGGCCACCACAGAGGTCTTGGCCATCATGGAAGTGTGTTTGTTATCATGGAGATTTTGGCTACTATGGAGGTCTTGGCCACCACAAAGGTCTTGGCCACCACAGAGGTCTTGGCCACCGTGGAGATGTGTAGGTCATCATGGAGGGCTTGGCCACCACAAAGGTCTTGGCCATTATGGAGGTCTTGGCCACTGTAAAGGTCTCCCCCACCACTTTGGCCACCTCAATGCCCTGGTTGCTTCTCCATGCCCTCAGCCACCTCAACCCCTGGTCACTTCTCCACCCTTTAGCCACCTCCACGCCCCGGCCACTTCGCCACCGCTTTGGCCACCTCCACGCCCCGGCCACTTCACCACCGCTTTGGCCACCTCCACGCCCCGGTCACTTCTCCAGGCCCTGGGCCACCAGCTGAGGTGACACTCACGGTGATGGGGACGCTGTCCTTGTTGGCCGGCATGTTGAGGACCAGCCGGGCCGTGCCGTCGCGCTGGGTGGACACCTGGCCCTGGAAGCCGTCGGCCTGGACGGCGACGCGTGGCGCCGGCGACTGGTCGGGGTTGGTGACAAAAACCTGGAGGGGACAGCGGGGACACGGGGACGTCACACGGGGACGTGGAGGAAGGGCAGCGGGGATGGGGTGGCACTGGGAGGGGACAATTGTACTGGGAAGGGGTGGTGGCACTGGGAGGGGACACTGGGAGGGGACAGTGATACTGGGAAGGAGTGGTGGCACTGGGAGGGGACAGCGGGAAGGGACAGTGATAATGGGAAGGGGTGGTGGCACTGGGAGGGGACACTGGGAGGGGACAATTGTACTGGGAAGGGGTGGTGGCACTGGGAGGGGACACTGGGAAGGGGCGGTGGCACTGGGAGGGGACAGCGGGAAGGGACAGTGATACTGGGAAGGGGTGGTGACACCGGGAGGGGACACTGGGAGGGGACAATGGTACTGGGAAGGGGTGGTGGCACTGGGAGGGGACACTGGNCACCGGGAGGGGACACTGGGAGGGGACAATGGTACTGGGAAGGGGTGGTGGCACTGGGAGGGGACACTGGAAAGGGACAGTGATACTGGGAAGGGGTGGTGACATCGGGAGGGGACACTGGGAAGGGACACTTAGAGTGGGTGGTGGCACTGGGAAGGAGTGGTGACAGTGGGAAGGGACAATGATACTGGGAAAGGGTGGTGGCACTGGGAAGGGGTGGTGGCATTAAGTGGGGACACTGGGAAGGGACAGTGATACTGGGAAGGGGTGGTGGCACTGGGAGGGGACACTGGAAAGGGACACTTGGAGTGGGTGGTGGCACTGGGAGGGGGTGGTGACACTGGGAGGGGACATTGGGAAGGGGTGGTGGCATTGGGAGGGGACACCAGGAAGGGACAGTGATACTGGGAAGGGGCGGTGGCACTGGGAAGGGACACTGGGAAGAGGTGGTGGCACTGGGAGGGGGTGGTGGCATTAAGAGGGGACACTGGGATGGGACACTGATACTGGGAAGGGGAGGTGGCACTGGGAGGGGACACTGGGAAGGGGCGGTGGCACTGGGAGGGGACACTGGGAAGGGACAATGATACTGGGAAGGCCTGGTGGCACTGGGAGGGGACACTGGCACCAGGAAGTGCCACCCCAGTGACACGGGGACAGCTCACGGTCCCCAGCCCCTCTCAGGTGACACAGGGACATCACCCAGGGACCAACTTCTCCTCCACCCCCACCCCCAGCTGTGCCCTGTCCCCATCCCGGGACACGCCTGTGCCACCACCCCGGGCCACCGCTGTCCCCAAGATGTCACCAACCGTGAGGTCAAAGGGCATCCCCGGCTTGAAGTACTTGGGGGTGTGGGTGAAGTGGATGGTGTAGGGGGACGTCACGATCTGGATGCCACCACGCTGGGCCTCCACCATGTCACTGCCTGTGGGGACACCGCCGTGGCCGTGTCACCTGGGGTCCCTGTCCCCACCTCAGGTGTTCCTCATCCCAGGTGTCCCCCCATCCTTGCTGTCCCCTGCCACCCACCATGTCACTGCCTGTGGGGACACCACCGTGGCCGTGTCACCTGGGGTCCCTGTACCAGATGTCCCCCCATTCTCACTGTCCCCTCACTGTCCCCCTGCCACCCTCCATGTCACTGCCTGTGGGGACACCGCTGTGACCGTGTCACCTGGGGTCCCTGTCCCCACCTCAGGTGTTCCTCATCCCAGGTGTCCCTCCATTCTCACTGTCCCCTCACTGTCCCCCTGCCACCCACCGTGTCACTGCCTTTGGGGACACCACCGTGGCCATGTCACCTGTGGCCAGGGCTCCTTGTCCCCTTCCCAGATGGGTGGCCCCAGATGTCCCCTCCCCATCATCGCTGTCCCCAACCCCAGATGTCCCCAGGCTCACATCGCTGCTGTCCCCACTTTGTGCCCCTGTGTCCCCCCGGTGTCCCTGTCCCCCCATGTCCCCCATGTCCCCCCGTGTCCCCCCGTGTCCCCCGTGTCCCCCGTGTCCCCACGCAGACCTGACTCGGTGATGACGGTGACGGTGACGTAGAGGGAGTGTCCCACCAGCTCCTGGGGGTTGGGGAAGCGCTCGCGCAGGTGCGCCATGGAGAGCGTGGCCTCGGCGTCACCGTTCTCCACCTGGGGACAAGGGGACATGGTTGGGGACAGGGNGTACTGGGAAGGGGTGGTGGCACTGGGAGGGGACACTGGGAAGGGACAGTGATACTGGGAAGGGGTGGTGGCACTGGGAGGGGACACTGGGAGGGGACAATGGTACTGGGAAGAGGTGGTGACACTGGGAGGGGACACTGGAAAGGGACAGTGATACTGGGAAGGGGTGGTGGCATTGGGAGGGGACACTGGGAAGGGACACTTAGAGTGGGTGGTGGCACTGGGAAGGAGTGGTGGCATTAAGTGGGGACACTGGGAAGGGACAGTGATACTGGGAAGGGGTGGTGGCACTGGGAAGGGACACCAGGAGGGGACAATGACACTGGGAACAGATGACGACATCGGGAGGGGGCACTGGGAAGGGACACTGGGAAGGGACAGTGATACTGGGAAGGGGTGGTGGCACTGGGAGGGGACACTGTGAGTGGGTGGTGGCACTGGGAGGAGGTGGTGACACTGGAAAGGGACACTGGGAAGGGATGGTGGCACTGGGAGGGGACACTGGAAAGGGACACTTGGAGTGGGTGGTGGCACTGGGAGGGGGTGGTGACACTGGGAGGGGACATTGGGAAGGGGTGGTGGCATTGGGAGGGGACACCAGGAAGGGACAGTGATACTGGGAAGGGGCGGTGGCACTGGGAAGGGACACTGGGAAGAGGTGGTGGCACTGGGAGGGGGTGGTGGCATTAAGAGGGGACACTGGGATGGGACACTGATACTGGGAAGGGGAGGTGGCACTGGGAGGGGACACTGGGAAGGGACAATGATACTGGGAAGGGGAGGTGGCACTGGGAGGGGACACTGGGAAGGGGCGGTGGCACTGGGAGGGGACACTGGAAAGGGACAGTGATACTGGGAAGGCCTGGTGGCACTGGGAGGGGACACTGGCACCAGGAAGTGCCACCCCAGTGACACGGGGACAGCTCGCGGTCCCCAGCCCCTCTCAGGTGACACAGGGACATCACCCAGGGACCAACTTCTCCTCCACCCCCACCCCCAGCTGTGCCCTGTCCCCATCCCGGGCCACGCCTGTGCCACCACCCCGGGCCACCGCTGTCCCCAAGATGTCACCAACCGTGAGGTCAAAGGGCATCCCCGGCTTGAAGTACTTGGGGGTGTGGGTGAAGTGGATGGTGTAGGGGGACGTCACGATCTGGATGCCACCACGCTGGGCCTCCACCATGTCACTGCCTGTGGGGACACCGCCGTGGCCGTGTCACCTGGGGTCCCTGTCCCCACCTCAGGTGTTCCTCATCCCAGGTGTCCCCCCATCCTTGCTGTCCCCTGCCACCCACCATGTCACTGCCTGTGGGGACACCACCGTGGCCGTGTCACCTGGGGTCCCTGTACCAGATGTCCCCCCATTCTCACTGTCCCCTCACTGTCCCCCTGCCACCCTCCATGTCACTGCCTGTGGGGACACCGCTGTGACCGTGTCACCTGGGGTCCCTGTCCCCACCTCAGGTGTTCCTCATCCCAGGTGTCCCTCCATTCTCACTGTCCCCTCACTGTCCCCCTGCCACCCACCGTGTCACTGCCTTTGGGGACACCACCGTGGCCATGTCACCTGTGGCCAGGGCTCCTTGTCCCCTTCCCAGATGGGTGGCCCCAGATGTCCCCTCCCCATCATCGCTGTCCCCAACCCCAGATGTCCCCAGGCTCACATCGCTGCTGTCCCCACTTTGTGCCCCTGTGTCCCCCCGGTGTCCCTGTCCCCCCATGTCCCCCATGTCCCCCCGTGTCCCCCCGTGTCCCCCGTGTCCCCCGTGTCCCCACGCAGACCTGACTCGGTGATGACGGTGACGGTGACGTAGAGGGAGTGTCCCACCAGCTCCTGGGGGTTGGGGAAGCGCTCGCGCAGGTGCGCCATGGAGAGCGTGGCCTCGGCGTCACCGTTCTCCACCTGGGGACAAGGGGACATGGTTGGGGACAGGGTTAGGACAGGTTTGGGGACAGCAGGGGGACAGCACGGCCTTGGTGTCACCGTCCTGAACCTGGGGACAAGGGGACATGGTTGGGGACAGGGACAGTGCCAGGCTCATAGGGACAGGGCTGGGGACAGGTTTGGGGACAGGGACAGGGACAGTGCCAGGCTCATGGGGACAGGGCTGGGGACAGGTTTGGGGACAGGGACAGTGCCAGGCTCATGGGGACAGGGCTGGGGACAGGTTTGGGGACAGGTCTGGGGACAGGGACAGTGCCAGGCTCACGGGGACAGGGTTGGGGACAGGGACAGTGCCAGGCTCATGGGGACAGGGTTGGGGACAGGTTTGGGGACAGGGACAGTGCCAGGCTCACAGGGACAGTGTTGGGGACGGGGTTGGGGACAGGTTTGGGGACAGTGCCAGGCTCACGGGGACAGGGTTGGGGACAGGTTTGGGGACAGGTTTGGGGACAGTGCCAGGCTCACAGGGACAGGGTTGGGGACAGGTTTGGGGACAGTGCCAGGCTCATGGGGACAGGGTTGGGGACAGGTCTGGGGACAGGGACAGTGCCAGGCTCACGGGGACAGGGTTGGGGACAGGTTTGGGGACAGGGACAGTACCAGGCTCACGGGGACAGGGTTGGGGACAGGGACAGGGACAGTGCCAGGCTCACAGGGACAGTGCTGGGGACAGGTTTGGGGACAGGCTTGGGGACAGTGCCAGGCTCACAGGGACAGTGTTGGGGACAGGCTTGGGGACAGGTTCAGGGACAGTGCCAGGCTCATGGGGACAGGGTTGGGGACAGGTTCGGGGACAGTGCCAGGCTCACGGGGACAGTGTTGGGGACAGGGTTGGGGACAGGCTTGGGGACAGTGCCAGGCTCACGGGGACAGTGTTGGGGACAGGCTTGGGGACAGGTTTGGGGACAGTGCCAGGCTCACCGCCACACGCCGCAGGGACTGGGGGATGCTCTTCTTCTCGTCGTCCACCATGATGCCAAAGAGGACAAAGGCCGTCCCCTCCACGCGCTTCCCGTACAGGTACCTGGGGACAGCCACCGCGTCACCGCGTCACCGCGTCACCGCGTCACCGTGCCACTGTGTCACTGTGTCACCGTGTCACCCTGTCACCCTGTCACCCTGTCACCCTGTCACCTTGTCACCATGTCACTGTGTCACTGTGTCACCATGTACCGTGTCACCTTGTAACCATGTCACTGCGTCACCGTGTCACAGTGCCACAGTGTCACCTTGTCACCGTGTCACAGTGCCACTGTGTCACTGTGTCATCTTGTCACCCTGTCACCATGTCACTGTGTCACCGTGTCACCTTGTCACCTTGTCCCCTGCACATCCCCATCCCTGCCACCCCTGTCCTCACTCCGTGCTGTCACCCCATTGTCCCATGTCCCCATCCTGCCACCCCTCTGTCATCCCACCCCTGCCACCACCGATGTCCCCATGTTCCATGTCCCCATCTTGTCACCCTTGTGTCATCCCACCCCTGCCACCACCACCACCAGTGTCACCGTGTCCCCATCCTGCCACCACCACCGATGTCACCGTGTCCCCATCCTGCC